ATAATGATTTCTGAAGGATAATGTGACAGTGAAGACTGGAGTAATGATGCAGAAAATCCAGCTTTGCATCACAGGAATACATTACATTTTAAAATATATTGAATAGAAAACAGTCATTTTAAATTGTGATACCATTTCACAATATTACTGTTTTACTGAATTGTTGACCAAAAAAATGCAGCCTTGGCAAATATTAGAGACTTACAAATATATATATATATATATATATACATATATAGATAGATAGATATATAGATAGACCCAAAACTTTTGAACTGTAGTGAATAAAAGGACATTGACTGAATGAAAAAATCTAGTGCATTCAGAGAGGTAAAGTACAGCACAATGCTTTAGGGGAAAATGCACAAGAAGATGAAAAACATAATATATCTTCGAATCATATTCAAAACTCCCTTCAGTTTTTCAGTTTAATAACTGTGAAAGATCTGAATCATTGTGTGCGCATTACTGCTCCCACACGGTGTGTCTTTAGACGGCGAGCAGTCGCTACATTCATTTCACAAGAATTTTTTGTGCACATGCTGGTGGATGACAGAAAAAAATGTTTTTTTTCAACATAAAATGCACTGGTGTACCACCTTCGTATGAGGTTTGATATTTATACTGAAACCCATGTGGTCCTACAGCACATGCCATAACTGCTGAAACCAGTCAGTTGCGGTTTAGTCACCAACAGATTCATTAAACTTCAATTAGAATCTATCAGTGTCTTTGGGAAAAAAACATTTGCTGACATGCAGTAGGCGTTAACTGCATAACCTGTTCGCTGAGAGGTATATGTGAACATTAAAATCAATGGAAATGGGCATAGAGAAGTTTCTTCAGTTTTACGTCTCATTATTTTACCAGTTGTAAGATGATGATGAATACTTTATATTATAATTATATTATTGTATTATATATTATTTTATAAATATTAGTAGTAGTAGTAGTATTAAAGTCCTTGTTAACCTCATCTAACACAGTGGGTTTACACATTTATTTAAGTTGTGGTTAAACTAAAAGAAAGTTTTAATATTAAGTGTATTTAATTGAATGCATATTTAAAAGAATAGTTCACACAAAACACTTGCTCACCAATCGATCTCTGCAGTGAATGGGTGCCGTCAGAATGAGAGTCCAAACAGCTGACTAATAGTAATAATAATAATCCACAGTCAACTTGTTTGAACCAAGAGAGAAGTATGCACAGACAAAGCACTGTTTACAACAGAAATCAGTTTACGACAGTTCTAAACAAATGTTGGTGGAGAGGACAACATGTCACTGGAGGAAGCGTTATTATGGATTATGTAGTATTTTGGCCAGAAAGTGACGGTTTAAAGTGAAAACAGCTTAATGATGAATTCGTTTTTCACAAACACGCAGTTTAAAACATTTGTAAAGAAAGTGCAAAAGCGACTCACCACAAGGGGGAGGCGTTGACCTTTATGGCCACAGCGGTTTCAGCTCCAGGGGCCTGAGATAAGCCGAGAGAGAGAGAGCGAGAGAGAGAGA